GCAAAATAGCTAATGCATTGAAAATCCACCCCTTATTTTATACAAGAAAAGGATTGCTCACAGACAGCCACTAGGTTTAAGCTACGTGCATTTTCACTGTTTTGGTCTTTCCTCCATGTTACCATAGCAATTTCCCATGTACATCAGAGAAAAATGCTGATGGTGAGATGCAGTAATGACAGAACAGTCTCATAAATGAGAATTTAAAGTTGGACTGGAAAAAAATGCTGGAAATGATACAGTAGGAAATAGTCCTTTCTAAATATCTTAATAGGTTTGTTTCCACTGAATTTCTCTCCAAGGACGAATTTCTCTTCTGCACAAGACACACAGCACTGCAATTTGTCATCATGGGAAACTGTTCCATGTAACTGAATGGTTTTATTACCTTGCTCAAGACTTTTGAAGCCACTGGGCATGGGCATATTCTGGCATCTGTTCTGATCCTGCTTGTTCACAGACCTTAGGAACTAAATTAGGAACAACCAGCAAAGGTCAAACTGAGATCACAGAAAAGAGGCAAAGCATCCAAGTGCCCTTTTACAGATGGGAGGGAAGAAGGTTTGGCTGGCACACAGTCAACATCATGAGGCGGCATCTGACATTTTCACACAAAGCACTGGGTCTTATTTTTCAAAGGAAGCTTTTGTAAGAGCTCGGCAAAGTTTATCCTAGACTCTGAAGTGACTGCCCTGATTCACAACTGTTCTTAAAAGACTTTCCAGGAGCAATCCCATTCACTTCTCCTCCCCATCATGCTAAGAGCTTTGAAGGCTCCACAGTCAACAAGCACCCATAAAATATAATTAGCCTTTGCCAGTGCTGAATGTGTCATTCTTGAAATGACAATTTCTTTGATTTATTAAAGACTTTCTCCTTCCCTGGGACTAAACAAATGGGACTGAGCATCAATGCAAGTCATTAGTTATGGCAGTGTTACAAATGCGCGGGCCCCAGATAATCAACATCTGCTTTCCATGAAAGCAGAAGGGCAGAATTTACAACTTTGCCTGTCTTTTCAGCCCTCGACAAAGCTCCCTCCATCAGGGCCAACACACAGCCTGTGCATTTTTGGAATCTTTCTAGAGGCACAGCAATCCAAGCCTTAGCAACTGCTGTCTTCTCGGACACCTTCTGGCTGTCACTTGCTCTTCAAAAAAACAGACCAAGTGCACTAAATTAAGGAGCAGTCCACATTACCATTTTAAAGTCTCAGCTGGAAGCAGGATAACAATAAACCCCACGGGATTGTGTTAGCCTCTCATTTGAAAACGAGGAGAATGATGGGCTTCCACTAACAAATGTTATTACCTTTCTAAGATTTATCTGTTCTCCTGATATGAAAGGAGCTTAAGAGACAGAAGTTAGCAAAAAAATGAACATTTAGCCTAACTCCAGATACTGCAGATAAATCACAGGGTTTATTGTTCCAGTAGGATTCTCCATTGTTTTGAAGGCTAGCTAGCTAAAGAACTTGGAATCCATCACAAAAACAATGAGTCTCCCACAAACCACATTCCCCACTGTTCATCCCTGAGCCAGCCACAGATGTGAAATAAACCTGAGATACTTTTCATCCACTAAATGTGAAGAATGTCAGAGTATTGCCTCTACAGGAAAGGGTGACCTTGCACAAGTTAGGAAAGCATGCCACAGGTGATACAGGAAGACATTTAAATGCTGCAAAAATTGTCCTTGTGCAGGTATTTCTCTTCAAATGTATCCCAAAGCAACCTGCAGTTACCTAAGTAATATAGTAGAAAATCACCACCACCACCAGAAAAAAACCCAGATAGAAATTAGGGAACAGTATTTAACATCAAGTGTTTCTTCTTTTTGCAAGCTGAGTTTTCCTCACATCCTCAGTCATGGAAATTTCCATTTCTCATTCTACACAACTAGCCCCATGTCTAAGCCCAACAGTCTCTGCTTGCAGATTTAAACCTGTATATAATTGACTTTTTGGAGGGATTTAGCATGCCGAGTACAGATGTTGCCACATTCAGGACTTTCATCTATGAATTTTTTCCTAAACTTCCCTTGGGTGGAGTCTGTTATGTCCTAAGATTTTTATCCAGAGATCTGGGGTACATCTTGTGCTCAAGGGCAATTACACATTGAGGCAGTTATTCCATGGCAGAGAAGAGACATCGGCATGTCTTCCATCAGAAACATGGAAAAAAGGAAAAGATCAGCTTGATCTTCCTGGCCTTTCATAGGCGAACACTGACTGATGGGAATATAGGCTTTCTATTTAAGAACAAAGGGTCTTTATCCAGTCTCAAACTATAAACTACTGCTAAAAAGATTGTTGCTGTGATTTTTTCAATGACAGAATGAAAGAAAATTGCAACTATCTGCCAGGAATGTGTGAAGATAATAATCTGAGAAACTACTCAGAGGGGGTAGAGTGTTTTGTACAGGGATGAACTTTTCTGTGACACTCACTCATCACCATGGCATCTCTGAATCTTGGGAGGACTAGCACAGCCCAGAAGCACAGAGTTAGAATCCCCACATCTTGTATTCTCTTCCCAAATCTGCTACATACCTCCTATGGGATGAAGGAGGATTCATTTTACTGGGCACTTCATTTTGCATTTGCGTAAGATGGACCATTCTCTGTCCATCTGGTCATTTGAGATTGTCAATGCTTCAGGAACACTGGTGTTTGTACAGTGTGTACAAAATGGGAGCTCAACCTTGACTCAGGCTTCTAGGCATTATCTCAGTCCCTACAGAAGGGACAATACTAAGTGATGACATACTATAGGCACAGGGAATTTAATTGACTTTTCCAACCTCAACCAAGTAATTTAGCAAGAATATACCATGCAGTTTTTAAATATCAGTACTTTGCAGATTTGTTCTAACACTTGGACAGCTCCTCTACAGCTTCCACTGGGCTTCGATCTGGTAAGTTTCGGGAAGCACACACTGGGAAGTGCACAGCAAGAGGAAGGTGTGGGCCCAACACTGCTGGGGAGAAGAGCAGCATCTGTTAAGTTCTTTATGTTGCCTCCTCTCTTTACAGAGCTGCGAAGGTTTGCCCATCATTTCCCAACACTCCACAACAGCTTCAGATTTTTATATGCAATTTAGAATTGATTTTTTAAAATTGATTTCTGAGATGATTCTGTCACTTCCTCCTCCTCCCTCTCTCTGGGGAACCTGAGCTGTGGGGAATCTCTGCAGTTTGTAAGTACTCACCCTGCATGCATGAATATGTAGGTTAGGTACCTCCAAGCCTGAGCACGGAGCTGAGGATGGTAAAGTAATGCGTTCTTCAGGTATAAGGGATGAGTGACTTGCAGCACAAATCTGTCTAATACCACTCCGTTGTAAAGAAAAAAGGCAACCTAGAAGAGCAGGGAGATTCCTTGGTTAGCAAACGCCTTCTCTCACTGAAAAGCACTTTGTAACTCAAAATCATGGAGAAGAAAGTCAGATGTACAATAATTTTTCTCCTATTTGACAGATTCACACAGCATGGAAGTTCCCTGTTTTGGGGAACCTGCAACACACTGCTATAACTCTATATGTGGCTTTCTGTAACACACCAGCCACCAAGGCAGAGGAACTCAGCACCCTGCTGATCAGTGCCATATTACATCCTTTTCTGTGCTTATTCCAGCACGTTACTCAGCAACTGTGCAAAGATATAATTTGGGCAACAGATGAGCTGGTCAGAATATTTAATCCAGTTCCTCCTCCCTCCTTTTTATCTCCATTCACAGAACAGAAGTAACCGTATAGGAATCCTTCTAATTCCATTATTTGAACTACTAGTTTCCCTAGAACCGTCCAGATTTTCACTCCTCAAAGTTTTGCTGCAGTTCCACAAACTCTGTACTTTCAAACACAAGTTGTTTCAATGACTAATAACCATGCTTGAAGACAGATAGGATCACAGTCTCCACTTACACGTACATATACAAGTAAACCAAAATGGTTGCTAGCCTTGTGCTTGTCATTGTCTGGGTCTAAATGAGCCCCATTCTATCCCTTGTTCATGTCCAGCAAAGCCTTTGGCAGTGTGCGGTGGGTTCCCAGAGAGAGGGCATTAAGGTACTTGCCTCTACGATAGTGATGGTAATCATGAACCAGGGTGGGGGGCAGCAGGTATAGCTGTCGTAGTACCACTTGCGGTCTATCTCTCGTGGCAGGGTCTCATATGCAACGTGCCGGATCAGCCTCTGCGAAAGGCTCAGCCCCGTTTCCTCCAGCAGCGCCTTGCTGCACAGCCTCCTGTTCCCCTGAAGGATGGCTTGGCGGAAACTATTCGACCTTTTGTTGCTCATCTGGGTAAAAAGAAAAGGAAAAAACCATAAGGACAAAGCAAGGCCTGGCACAACCATCCGGGGAGATTAGTGCCAGTTTGGTAGCACCAGGCTGGAGCTATAGGCACCAAGTCTCAGCATGATCACAGGGTAACCTACATCGGGTGCAAGGAAAACCAGTACCAGGGTTTTCTGCTAGGGTGCCAATAAATGAAGTCAGGGCAGAACACTGGCAAGGCAGAGCAAAGGCTGCTGAGGCACCTGGCTGAGCTCCCTGGCCCATTCTCCAGCCTTCCATCCACTGTCTTCACCACCACTTATCACAATCCACATTCCTGTGTCCTCTTACTTGCTGGTCTATGACACTTCCCTGCACCTCCCGTCTCTTGAGGCAGAAAATTTCCCAAATGTAGCAGCAGGTACATCCACACCATCTAACCCCTGTGTTCTGGTCCTTGTTGGCAGGAGTTAGCCCCCGTCAAAGAAAATTCTCCCTTTGTGTAAAACAAACCTGTACGAGCAACAGCAACAAAGCAACAAAATAAACTGGTGTGCAGGCTGTCTTAGCTGCTGTAAACTTGCAAGCGGAAAGGATTTCTTATTTTAAAACTGTTATTCACAGCGGGAGCAGGTTTTGAGATGGTGCAGGCTCTGGAGAATACAGCTGATTTGTACATGCATTATCATCTTACATGTGTAGAATTAGCTATCTATCTTTTGAGCATACACTTTCCCAATTTGGATGCATAATTAAAGCAATTGCATTTGCAAATTAGGCAGATGGAATTTTATGCATAGCCTGCTTGGGGGAGAGGGAGTGGGCGGAGAAGGAGGGAATCAGGTCTGAAAGAGCTTGCTCCAAGATTTGGATAATTGCTAATTAGCCCTGATGTCAAACAATCCTGCTTCATTAGAGTCGCTGTCTTGTACTGGCTGAATCTTTGGCAGGAAGGCTGAAAAGGCAAACTATTCATAAAGACCACTGTAAGGGGACCCTTTACAGTAAAAGGCACCAAAGCAAATGTGAGAGCCTGGCCCTTCTTCTGAAAGAACACCCAACCGATCTCAGAAATCGCCAGCATTTTCAGTCTCTTCTTTGGTTGTGGGAGACGATGTTCAACAGCGCTGGGTCCAGTGGTCTTGGATCACACTGGTTTCAGCTCATGTCCCAGAGACAGCAATGCCCAGAGCTTGTGTTCTCAGTGCCCAGGCAGCCAGGTAATGGTTCCAAGCTGGACCAAGCTGCTTAAAACACAGTAATCACTGCAGGAATCCACCTCCTGTTAATCACTGGAGGAAGGTGAAGGGGCCATCTAAGGTGATGGCACTGGGACCCATTCCCCAGCAGCTGCCCATCCCTCCTTAGCCTTCCATTTGCAGCCTGTCCCTCCCCTGCAGAAACTCAATGTGAGCAACATTGACAGGTAATTGATCTATTTCAGGTTTTTTAAAACTGGGGGAAAATGTGTTGCTGTTGTTCTTTTTCATCTGTTTTAGTGAGAAAAATGTTTACCCCAAAAACTCCTTCTCCTTTCTTGGTATTTCTCCCTTGCACTCT